CGTTCCATGGCAGAGAAATATACTAAGGTTATGCCAAGGTTAGCCATAAATAGACTAAGGTTATGCTAAGGTTATGCTAAGGTTATGCCAAGGTTAGCCATAAATAGACTAAGGTTATGCTAAGGTTATGCCAAGGTTAGCCATAAATAGACTAAGGTTATGCTAAGGTTATGCTAAGGTTATGCCAAGGTTATGCCAAGGTTAGCCATAAATAGACTAAGGTTATGCTAAGGTTATGCTAAGGTTATGCCAAGGTTAGCCATAAATAGACTAAGGTTATGCTAAGGTTATGCTAAGGTTATGCCAAGGTTAGCCATAAATAGACTAAGGTTATGCTAAGGTTATGCTAAGGTTATGCTAAGGTTATGCCAAGGTTAGCCATAAATAGACTAAGGTTATGCTAAGGTTATGCTAAGGTTATGCCAAGGTTAGCCATAAATAGACTAAGGTTATGCTAAGGTTATGCTAAGGTTATGCTAAGGTTATGCCAAGGTTAGCCATAAATAGACTAAGGTTATGCTAAGGTTATGCTAAGGTTATGCAAGGTTAGCCATAAATAGACTAAGGTTATGCTAAGGTTATGCTAAGGTTATGCCAAGGTTAGCCATAAATAGACTAAGGTTATGCTAAGGTTATGCCAAGGTTAGCCATAAATAGACTAAGGTTATGCTAAGGTTATGCTAAGGTTATGCCAAGGTTAGCCATAAATAGACTAAGGTTATGCTAAGGTTATGCTAAGGTTATGCCAAGGTTAGCCATAAATAGACTAAGGTTATGCTAAGGTTATGCTAAGGTTATGCTAAGGTTATGCTAAGGTTATGCCAAGGCTAGCCATGAAGTGGACACCTGCTGTAGGTGGCCGTTGCTTCATCGGTTTCAGCCCGGAAGATGTGGTGGATCCCTTCGGGCGCTTGGAGGGCACGGAGCCTCACATCCTGATTTTTGAACATTTTGGGACCCAACTTTGACTGGTTGGTGGTTTGGAACATGAATTTTATGACTTTCCATATATTGGGAATTTCATCATCCCAACTGACTTTCATATTTTTCAGAGGGGTAGGTATACCACCAACCAGTTGATACTATGGCTGTGTGTTGACTTTGGGAGACCAAGCATCTATAACCGGAGCCGATCGATACCGATCGATAGGTGAGAGTTTGTCCGAACTGTTCATGACACTGATGGCCAGTGCAGAGAGGGTGTTGGATTCCTGGGTAGTAGCACTGTAGCAGAGATCAGGAGCATAGACAAAAAGGTATGACACATTGCCGTCAAATCAGCAAGATTCATCACCAAGTCTTTTTAGTTCACCTCTCGAAGTTACCATTTCTTGTCGAATATCACCATTGTTGGATCACTTTGCCCAGCAATGGTCTGTTGATGGGCCGGTATGGGTCAAAATTATGAACCCCAAATGACCTGCCCCATACCTGGCTCAAGCCACCATCCCAAAGCCATCCAGCGCGCTGTTGCCGCGTTGCCGCCTCAAAGGCAAGACAGTGACATTGCCACCGCTGTGGGGAACCGGAGGGGTGACGTCGAGTGAGATGAAGGGAATTTTCCAATGGATTGAAACAAGGGGAAGTGTGCAGGAAGCAATTTTGGTTTTGCATGGAACGTTGCTGTTTGCTAGTTCTGGTTTTGGAGAATATCAAATGATATCTGGTTGGTGACTGGAACCATGGAATCTAAATCATGACTTTCCCATATCATATTGGGAATTTCATCATCCCAACTGTTACTCACTCCATCATTTTTCAGAGGGGTAGCTTCAAACCACCAACCAGATCTCAAATGTGGGGCTTCAGTTTGCCCTGTGGATTGGTTCACGGCGTATCGAAGGAATGTAAACGGAGAAGATAAATATAGGTTGCATTGCCACAAATTACTGTATTCACTCACTATATTATTTTGCTCATTCTTTTTGTTATTGTTATCATTATCACATATTATTATTATGATTATTATTATATATGTTTATATATTTTTATTTTACATTTTTATTATTTATTCTTTCCAGTACTACTATGGTCATTATTGCAATTACCATTACAATTATTGCTACTCTCTACTGTATCAGGATTAAAATCATTGTTGACATTATAATTACCATAGTAATAGTAAAGCATTCCCATGACATTATCACTATAGTGATTCTCGTTGCAACAATGAAACACCTTTGAACCTATCGCCATTGCCATTACCTTTGCTCATACGCCTTTGTTCATACACCTTTGAATCATTACCAATTGTTCAAAATCTTTGATTTAAGGTGATTCAATAGATTGGTTTAAGGGAAAATTGAAACCGGACACCATCGTTTTTCCTATACAGTAAACTGTCGGAGGTTCCGGTTTGAATGTTCCCCTGGTGACCCATGGATACGCCAAGGCCCCGCGATGCCCGTGGCGTGCCCGATTTCCGCTCGAAGGAGAAAGTCTGGATGTATGGGATGTTTTTTTCATAGTGAATCACAACATTGGGGATTTCTTCATTGATCCATGGGATTAATATGATATAATATGAATTAAGATGATAATTCTAATGATATCTAGATCAATATGCTATAGATGTATAGCAAATTTTTTGGGCATCCACAACTACCAGCCATTTTGTGACCTTCTCAACGCGCTGGTTGCCACGTGACCATGGGGTTGCCAAGCTTTTCAGGGATTGAAACAGAGCCTTTGGCTTGGCTTACCGCCACAAGTTTAGCTCTTACTGTTGGATGAGATCAACAGCCAGTTTATGCAAGATGAGATGAAGAGACTGTAAGAGACTGAATCTGACCCAACTAGACGCAGATGGCCCAAATCCATCCAAATCTTTCATCTCTTGATCCAAATTTCAATCGGATCACCATGAAAGACCAGTCTATTGGCCTTTGGGTTTCACTGGATGGACTGGGTTTCCAGTGCCAAGTGCCTACTCTGAGCACCAACTTTTGAGATGGCTTTGTCTTAAAATGTAGGGAGAGCCCCCAACTCCCATGGTTTATCATATTTTTTGAGTCCTGTTAGTCCTGTTTACAAAAAAGCAGCCCAAATCCTGCCAGAAGAGGAGCATCGTCACAGTTTTGACAATAGAGACACTTGCACTTTTTGGGATATACTTCTGACATGCCAGACAGAGACCCAGGAGCCAAGCAAGTTGGAAACTCAGCACCACCTTGAAAAGCAGCCGGACCCCTATCAACCACCAATTGGCTTAGCGTTTGCCATCAGGGTATGGATCAAAATTGGATCTTCCAATCATAGGATGGTTATGGATGGTTACTGAAAGTCGACGAACATCTGTGGTCCAGGACTACCCTCTGGTAAACTAACATAACTATGGAAAACCACCATTATCAATGGGAAAATCCACTATAAATGGCAATTTTCAATAGCTATGTGGCTGTTTACCAGAGGGTACCTTTGATCCCCTACCCATCCATTTTTAAGTCCGCAAGATCCGCCAGCTCCATTGCCGCCCGTGTCATCGTGTCATGGCGGCGTGTCGCGGCCCGGTGCAGCTGCTGCCCCTGCGGCGCTTCCAGGGCATCGATGGCAACGAGATCCTGCAGGAGCTGCATCTGCGCGGCTCGGTGGAGAGGTCCATGGAGGACTTTCTGGTGGTTTTTTGGATTGGAAAATGGAAAGTGATAGTCACTGATAGTCCATAGAGGAATGGTGAAGTTGTTATTTTCCATTTTCCATGGACCATAGTTATGTTATTAATGTTATCATTTCGTCATGTTCAGAGTTATTGATGCTTGATGGCTGGTGAATGGGTGTGTTTTCTGGTATTTAGTTGTATTTAGATACATCGGTTACACTTGGTTATATGCTAATTATCCCGGATTTATACCATACTACAACCATAATGCGTCGGCTCATCCAACAACCTGTCGTTCGGCAAGATGGCTCGAACTGATGGAAGAAGAGGAATCAATGTCATAGTCAGCACAGCAGCAACTAACAGTCAGTATTCTCGGTCGTGTTTAGAGGAAGGGGGTTGGATACCCATTGTTTAATCCTTTTAAGGACCTTTGTAATTGAGGAATCCTAATGGGTAGTGTCCAATGTCCACCAAAGGTAACACTGTCAGTAGCACATCGACAAGCACATATTTTTCTCTGCTTGGCAGACTTCAGGAACCAAACTGCACTTGTAGAAGTTATGGCTGACCCCCTCAAAAGCAACCGCTTGGTGTATTGTAGCAGGAAGATGACTCGCCAGTGGCTGTGAAGCTTCACTCTGAGTGGTTCCACCCTGGGGCATTTATGATCCATCGCAAGAATTCACCGCTGCTGCCTCACCAAACATTGCAAGAGCAAGGCATTGTGGGTACGGCAACACTCTCTTGCACATTTAGTCCTACTGACTTATGCTGCACTTTGCTGTATCCAAGACTTGCCAGTCTCTGTGGGAGAGCGCGCGCTAGAGGGAGTGACGAGGATGCGATGTGCCACCGACGGTGGGTATTTGCAGAACCTTCCCAGCAGCCTTGAGCACTTGATTTCTGCAATAGTTACCCTCGTCACTACAGTAAATTGAACAAGAACCTAGCAGGAGAAAGATTGCCAAGCTGTCTTCAGAATCTGACATTTGGCGATAATTTCAACCAGACCCTGGAGGAAGTGAACTTGCCAAGCGGTCTTCAGAGTCTAACGTTTGGCAAGAGATTTAACCAGACCAGAGCCTGGAGGGAGTGAGCTTGCCAAGCGGTCTTCAGAGTTTAACATTTGGCCGGGCTTTCAACCAGACTGTGGATGGAGTGAATTTGCCAAGCGGTCTCCAGAGTCTAGCGTTTGGCATTGAATTCAACCAGACCCTGGAGAGAGTGAACTTTCCAAGCGCTCTTCAGAATCTGACATTTAGCGATCATTTCAACCAGCCCTTAGAGGGAGTGAGCTTGCCAAGCGGTCTTCAGAGTCTAGCGCTTGGCAGGGCTTTCAACCAGCCCCTGGAAGGGGGGAAGCTTACATAGAAGCTTCAAACTTTACACCCTTTGCTCCATGGCGAAGCAGACGGTGCACTCCCTGCTCCTGCTTCACCTGACGCTGCGCATTGGCAGCGGCCGCTGCGAGAAGAAGGTGGCGGTGGTGCCGGGCCCTGTGGGGCGCGCGGCGCTGCCAGGCACCGTGGGCCCCGTGAATCGCACGGCACTGCCGGGGCCTGCAGGGCATCTGGTGCTTCCGGCGGCAGCGCCGGTGCTGCTCAACAGGCCTTTGAATGTGGCTGTGGTGGCCGTCAATGCTGAAGCCAAGAAGGCCAAGCAGGCATGGAGGATTCGGCCCTGTTCTATTTAATCAACAAGAAAACGCCAAAAAAAACCGAACGCCACCGCAACAATCCCAAAAATCAGTTACAGATAAAAATCCACAAATTGTATCCGAGCCTATAGGGCACCAGCAGACAGGGAAAAACAAAAGTCAGGGCTTAAAAACTGACAACAGGTCTACAAAATACAGCCTTAAATTCTATCTGAGCACCCTCATACCGAAAGGTGTCCTGAATATCTTCAGGAGGGACGTTTTTGGAGAGAAAAGTGAGGATTTCTAAAACCTCCCTGGAGGGAGTGCACTTGCCAAGTGGGCTTGAGAGTCTGACATTTGGAGATTTTGTCAGCGGAGGGCGGGTACAATTCCGTGATGCGAGGAATACATATGCTGAACATTTTTTCGAAAGAACCTGGTTGGAGTCAGTTTGCCAAATGGTCTTCAGAGTCTCTCTTGTTTCGAGATCTTGGTGAGCATCTTGTGATTCCAGTGTCGCGTACGAAAAAATCGCTGAACCATGTTTCATGTTTTGGTATGGCTTGTGTGGGATGCCACCAAGATGTCAGAGGTTTCAAGGATGGCGCTTTGGGTTTGTCATGGTTGAAAGTAGAGGATGGCTGAGTTGATCTGATTTGATGTCTGGACACGTTCGAGTTCATTCCGAGTTGATTTCGCGATTGCTGAACACCCCAATCTGAGTCCATCCGACCGTTTCTCCCAGGTCAGCGTCAGCATCCCATCCGCCAGCTCTGGGATCGATCCTTGAAGCTTCCGCCGAAGCACTTGGAGTATCTTCATGCGGCCTGCTGCGACTTGAGTCCCTTGGAACTTCGGAACGGGGGATGACGAGACGTTGCTGGATCACCATGGGTGACACCGTTTTTTGTTGTGTGTGGTGAACTGGAACATATCTACAGTTCATTGAAGGGTTGGGTTTTCTATGGGATTTTTGGGATGAATCATGGGTAACAATGGGTAACGTGTTTTTGTTTTGTTGGATATACTTGATATACTGTACACAGCGTCAACTTGTTTTGCTTGCAGTTTTTTGTGGTTTCAATCTAAGGCTTCATTGCTTGCCAGTCACTGGGAATAGCGATCCCATGTCAGTCAATCCCATGTCGAAAAAAACCGCCATCCGAATCCGCGAGGTGCTTGCGTCCGGCAGGAGGCCGTGCTGCTGCTGAAGCGCTACGTGAAGGAACTGATGTCCCGAAAGGCGCAGGGATGCAGCCTGCAGGCCGAAAAGAGACGTCGGCAGTTCGATGGATTTTCGATGAGTCCGGCAGGAGATAAATAGCCATGGATGGCATGGTGTTCAATTTAAATGGTTTAAATTTAAATGATTTATACAAATGGGCAATACTATATAAGTTATATATTTATATAAATATAATATAAATATATAACTAATGGGTATATCGACTATAATTGATGTGGTCGGTGGCTTCAAATAGGTTTCGTTTTCAACCACATGACTGGAATGATGATGCTGCGGAAAAGAACGGTGGCTCAGATTTTTTTGGGTCAGGCACACAGACGATCCATTTGGGCTATGTCACGGCCATCCAATTCATCATCGTGAGACATACCAGTGCCATGCTTGGACTCTGATGTTTCTAACTTTCCGAACGTTTGGGAAAGTCCTCTGAGCTTTCTAAATATGAATTTAACTGATACAAAATGATATAAAACAATAGGTGTCCTGGACCAAACATCCCATGTTGTTTCCAGTTGCAGGTGGTTATTCTGACCTGCGCCAACCTGGCAGCCAAGTACTGGCAAAATCATGGCATCTGGGGTGCAATTTTCAACCGTTGAGTCCATCAAAAAGGACGGTTCATCATGGTTCATCATGGTTAATATTTTGCATACGGGTTAATAGTTGGAAATCTATCTTCTCAGTAATCTTACCAACATTATAGAGGTTTTAACATGTTTGAAAAATCATAGATTTTATAGATTTTGAACAGTTGAGCCATCAAAATTACGACTGCTGATGGGTGATTTATGCAATAAGAGGACCAACCCGTTTCTTTTGGATTATGGTGATTCTACTAATCCAATAAATGATGGTTACACGGCCTGGTTTAGTGGGGATTATATACTGTGACATATTATAACCAGAATAGGACTAATTCTTTTTGCCAATCAGTACAGTGGGCTGGGATAGGGGTGTTTTTCAATGCTCTGTTGAAAAAAGGGGGTCCAGAAATCGGGGACCCCACAACTGAGTTTTATGGGTCCTGTCAAATAGTCAAACCATAGCTTTGGGGGTAACCAGGTGACCATATTTTAAGACACACTCAAAATTATTGGCCCAACAATTGGATTTTGAGGTACCATAATATGTTTCGCAAGAACCATATCTGTAACAACCAAAATTTCTATGGTATATACAGCCACCTTCAAATTGCAGGATTGTGCAAATTGTGCATGGAATCCTTCGGGTGCCCCATAAATTCTCTAGCATCATTGGTTGATAGAGGGGCAAACCTGATGGAACAACGAATAGGCACAGGCGGGCACAGGTCAATGAGTCAATGATGGCAACACTCCTGTATTTTCTTTCCAACAGGACATCAAAATATCCGAAGAAAACACCACACCCAGGTTTGCACGAAAGACTCTTTAATGGCAAGTTTTGAGCGACTGCCATGTTTGGTGGGAAGAACTGGAATGATTGCTGGAGTTGGCCAAGTAGAGTAGTAATGTTACAGTAATGTCTATGAAGTGGCTCACAAGCCTTGATACTCATGATAGAATGAGTTAAAGTTACCACCTATTCTGCCCCCAGTCTGGGTATAGTTCAAATCGCTCCTATTTTTCCTAGTCGATGTCCCAAATCTTGGTTTCTTACAGCACCATCCTAAGGGCTTCCGGAGCCGCAGCTGCACAAGCTCTCGTGCAATGCCTTCACTCGCAATGATTTCATTGACGCAGAGGTGGAGGTGGGCCGGAACCCGCCAGGAAAAGGGGGGGCTTTGGAGTCCTTCAGGCAGGACCCCCCAAAAAGGATGATGGCGCTTACTTGAGAACCGGATTTTCAGGTTGCAACCATCAACCCACAAATTTCATATTATATACTGTATTGGTTTCTTCAATTTCCCGCCATTTCTTTGTAGCCCCTTGGCCCCCTCCCCTTGGCCCACCACCAGGTGCTGTCGCTTCTGTCCTGCAACGTCCATTGGCCCGGCGCGCTGCTGATCGAGTGGGTCTCGCTGCTGCTGTTCCTGTGCCAAGATCTGCTGGCGGATGGCTCCGACTTGGACGCCCGGTGGGGGAGATGTGCATTCGAAATGGCATCGAAAAAAGGCGGTGAATGACCTGGGAATACCTGGGATATATCATGGTATATCGGCATGTCCCATTTGTAACATGTATACGTTGGATTAAAACCCCTTACGCTGGATATACTGGGATTAAAAGCAATGTTATCCCCCTTAGGGCTGCATTTTCAGAAGCATATCTTAGCCACTTCGCCCCTGGAGAACCTGGCCGCGTTGCGCCACGTTGCGCTCTCAGGACATCCTGCTGGACCTGGCTACGCGGCTGATGGACGCCTTGGCCTTTCAAGACCAGCTGATGGCGCAGCATCTTCCCTCGCAGCTGGCGGCGGCCGTGGTGCATGGCGCAGTGCAGCTGTGCACCAAGTCCTTTCAGGACGGTGAAAAAACCATGTTAAACCATGTTAAACCATGTTAAACCATGTTAAACCATGTTAAACCATGTTTAACCATGTTAAACCATGTTAAACCATGTTAAACCATGTTAAACCATGTTAAACCATGTTAAACCATGTTAAACCATGTTAAACCATGTTTAAACCATGTTAAACCATGTTTAAACCATGTTAAACCATGTTTAAACCATGTTAAACCATGTTAAACCATGTTAAACCATGTTAAACCATGTTTAAACCATGTTAAACCATGTTAAACCATGTTAAACCATGTTTAAACCATGTTTAAACCATGTTTAAACCATGTTAAACCATGTTAAACCATGTTAAACCATGTTTAAACCATGTTAAACCATGTTAAACCATGTTAAACCATGTTAAACCATGTTTAAACCATGTTAAACCATGTTAAACCATGTTAAACCATGTTAAACCATGTTAAACCATGTTAAACCATGTTAAACCATGTTAAACCATGTTAAACCATGTTTAAACCATGTTAAACCATGTTAAACCATGTTAAACCATGTTAAACCATGTTTAAACCATGTTAAACCATGTTAAACCATGTTAAACCATGTTAAACCATGTTAAACCATGTTGAACCATGTTAAACCATGTTAAACCATGTTAAACCATGTTAAACCATGTTAAACCATGTTAAACCATGTTGAACCATGTTGAACCATGTTGAACCATGTTGAACCATGTTGAACCATGTTGAACCATGTTGAACCATGTTGAACCATGTTAAACCATGTTAAACCATGTTGAACCATGTTGAACCATGTTGAACCATGTTAAACCATGTTGAACCATGTTGAACCATGTTGAACCATGTTGAACCATGTTAAACCATGTTAAACCATGTTAAACCATGTTAAACCATGTTGAACCATGTTGAACCATGTTAAACCATGTTAAACCATGTTAAACCATGTTAAACCATGTTTAACCATGTTAAACCATGTTAAACCATGTTAAACCATGTTAAACCATGTTAAACCATGTTAAACCATGTTAAACCATTTTAAACCATGTTAAACCATGTTAAACCATGTTAAACCATGTTAAACCATGTTAAACCATGTTAAACCATGTTAAACCATGTTAAACCATGTTAAACCATGTTAAACCATGTTTAAACCATGTTTAAACCATGTTTAACCATGTTTAAACCATGTTAAACCATGTTAAACCATGTTAAACCATGTTAAACCATGTTAAACCATGTTAAACCATGTTAAACCATGTTAAACCATGTTTAAACCATGTTTAAACCATGTTTAAACCATGTTAAACCATGTTAAACCATGTTAAACCATGTTAAACCATGTTAAACCATGTTAAACCATGTTAACCATGTTAAACCATGTTAAACCATGTTAAACCATGTTAAACCATGTTTAACCATGTTTAAACCATGTTAAACCATGTTAAACCATGTTAAACCATGTTAAACCATGTTAAACCATGTTAAACCATGTTAAACCATGTTTAAACCATGTTAAACCATGTTTAACCATGTTAAACCATGTTAAACCATGTTAAACCATGTTAAACCATGTTTAAACCATGTTAAACCATGTTAAACCATGTTAAACCATGTTAAACCATGTTAAACCATGTTTAAACCATGTTTAAACCATGTTAAACCATGTTTAACAGTTTAAACCATGTTTAAACCATGTTAAACCATGTTAAACCATGTTAAACCATGTTAAACCATGTTTAAACCATGTTTAAACCATGTTAAACCATGTTAAACCATGTTTAAACCATGTTTAAACCATGTTAAACCATGTTAAACCATGTTAAACCATGTTAAACCATGTTTAAACCATGTTAAACCATGTTAAACCATGTTAAACCATGTTTAAACCATGTTAAACCATGTTTAAACCATGTTTAACCATGTTTAAACCATGTTTAAACCATGTTTAAACCATGTTTAAACCATGTTTAAACCATGTTTAAACCATGTTAAACCATGTTAAACCATGTTAAACCATGTTAAACCATGTTAAACCATGTTAAACCATGTTAAACCATGTTA